TGCTATTGTGGGCTTTTCTCTTTGCAAGAGTCGAGTCAACTAAAAAACAAGCCAGTTTCATATTTCTTATTTCTAGCAGGTGATTTTTAGCAGATTATAATTAAAGAGCAGATCTTCAAAGTGGATGCAAAATAACTGCAATTCAGCAGTGTTAGGAAATGGGATTATGTTTTTCTTTTGTGCCCTGTCTGGTTCAGTTCTGCAGACTTTCCTGCAGGCTGGTTGCTTGGATGGGCATGTCATCCTCTGCTGCATCTTCCCAAAGTACTTCTGAAAGTCAGATGGAAACACATGCAAAATATGTGCAGCCATTTAGTGCCTTAAAGGAGGCAAAACACCAGGAAAAACACCAGAGGATGGAGAGACACTCTATATTTATGTACACATGTTTGGACTATCAAAATAGACAATAGTAGAATGATATAAGGAATGCATGTCTATGCAGGTGGGCATAGATTAATGTAGCAGGAGGACAGAAAATCTTAATGCAATGAAATGAAAAAAATACTAAAATTGAATATTATGGTATGTTTAGTAAAACATAGAATATCAAAAGATTCTACAAAGAGACAAAACATGTACCGGGGGGTACGTAAAGTGCAGATCTCTTGCCAATTGCAAACAGCATATTTCTATCCCTCAATATGATGAAACATAACGGTGTACTAAGCAAAATTACCTTCATAAATTATTATAGATCCATTTTTTTTATTATATTATCATTATTCATGTAGATGGATAATGATTATTATTACCACCATCCCCAAGGCTTTCAATGTAACCTTTATTGTATATTCACTCTGAAACTGCGTGTTTAAATGCTCATTTTATCTGTTTAAACCAAACTCGTTTGCACATCTTAACATTAGTTGGGTAATCTTTGCAATCAATATGCTACTTATTTATTTAACATCCCAAAGAGAATTATTTCAACCTTTTATTTCGTTTCATTTCAAAGAATGTACCTTGCAGATATTGAATAACCCAGTTACAGTGTTTTAGAAAATTAGAGTTCAAATAACACTAATAAAATAATAATTAAACTTTACTATGTATATTATGTAATGACCATATTTGTTAAATATGGAGCTTTATTATTTCTAGCCAATAATCACCACAATAACAAGAAACAAAGATTTAAAAGTATTGTACCTAATGTGTGACTAATTTATATATCTTTTAATGTTGGAAATAAGTGACAAAAATGATTGATCTTTTCTAAAATATTTAAATATCTATGAGGACTTTAAGGTAAATATGTCTACAGTCAAGTTATTTCCATCTAATGGATTTCTCTGGAAATTGTAGCTCAGACCTTAAAATGGTGCAATGCACTAATGCTGAGTTAGTATTTGTTGTGATGCCAACTGCTAACATCTATACAAGCTGAGAATTTATTGTTCTCAATTTTATGCCTCAGAATAATGTAAGAACATATTTACTAAAGAGAGGTTGTGCTTCATGAGTAACATTGGATTTTTGAAACACCAACCATCAAAACATCTTAGTTTTTACACCGCCCGACATAAAAACGATGAAGGTTCTCAGTCATCCAGGTCATAGTCATTCCGTAAAAATTCATAATTCAAAAAAAAATTCAAAGTGGACTTGGTTTTCAAGATTTGAAGACGTTTCGCCACCTCTCCAGGAATTAAGAAAGCTTCCTGGAGAGGTGGCGAAACGTCTTCAAATCTTGGAAACCAAGTCCAGTGGATATTTTTTGAATTTTTATGGAAAGTTAAAAGAAAAACAAATCACAGTAATTACACACACACAGTTAATAATGAGATTCAGCCCTTTTTATTACAAGGAGAATACAATAGAAATGTTTACCTTATTAACAGAAGCAAAACCAGGAGATAAAAAATGAGTACATATTTAAAAAAAAGCAAACAATCGCTTTAATTCTAACGGTTCTTTTAGTATTCCTGAGGCATCAGTTAATGAAATATGTGTTTTAAAGAAATTTAGGCTAAAATGCTTATTTTTTTCTTTTCCATTTCAACATTGATTTTAATTATCTACAAAGAAACTCAACTAGTGAACTGTTGTTCAATGTACTCCTTAAACCGGCCTAACCACGCTCCACTGCTCAGCAGCAGAGGTGGTCAGCAGCACCAAATTCCTGGGGATGCACATCACAGACAACCTCACCTGGACTGTAAACACCACCTCACTGGTCAAGAGGACAAGGAAGCACCATAGAAAGGCTTCCCAGCTCTCACTGTGTGGGGTGGAGGCTGCAGCGCCTCAGACTTGAAGAATGTGAGAAGAGTGGTGAGAACAGCAGAGAGGATCATCAGGGCTCCTCTTCCCTCCATGACAGACATTTCATCCCAGAGCTGTGTGTCCTGAGCCCGAAACATCATCAACGACCCCTCACATCCCCACCATGGATTGTTCTCCCTGATGGCCTCTGGGAAGAGGCTTCTCACCATCCACTGCAGGACCAGCAGGTTCTGTTGCAGCTTCTTCCCCCCTGCCATCAGACTGTTGAACTGTTAAAGTCTAAACTGGACTCTGCATTATACACATTATACATTATTCTGCACCATCAATGTGGCTGAAACTTTTATGATTCTTTTAAATAGAACACAACTCCTTGTTTACAGCATTTTGCACCATTTTTTTTATTTTTTTTGCACTGCACTAGACCTTTCCATATTAATGCCCTTTTGCACCATTATTTTTTTTAACCATTTTTCCTTTCTGCAATACTGTTTACATAACGATCCCTGCTGCACTTTAAACGGTAAGTGTTTGCTTCACTGTTGGAAGCTTCTTATTTCACTGCTAGAAAGTAGACACTTGGTATATACAAGATGACAACAAAGTTTGTCTAAGTATAACTTATGACCTGCTCATGCAATTTTTCTCCCAAATACATTTCATTTATACTTTAGCACATCCCTCCATAGTGGTAGTTTTGATTACATATTAGAGTCTGTATATTTAATTTCCTATGCATCAGGAAAACCTCTTAAAACAATTCTTAGGTAAAACAAAAAAAAAGTTTTCTTCAAGAAAAAAGAAACTTCAAAACAAGGCAAAACATTTGTTTATTTGTTCTTGTATTAGATTGAATTGCATTCAAAACTATATCATCCACAGCATTACAAAGCATTAACCTAAATCTTTACAGTTTTTTTCTATCATTTACGCATGTCATTTAATGAAACAATAAAGTGCTTTTCTTTTTTCCAAAAAACTTTCTCTTCAACTACTCAACCAAAACACTGAGACAATACATGCGGCCCCTCTCCAGCCAAGTGGAAATTGTCACAAACACATTTACACCCAGAAATACTCAGTCCAACAAGTGAGCAGGCGAATGTTTCACCCACAGTGTTTAGTTCAAACATAAAGCTGGAGCTTAAAACTCTGAATTGCCTAAATTTGAAGCCAAGATTAAGAAAAATATTGTTGCATGAAGCGGCTGTCTATCTTGTCAGGTAGATTTAATCCTCCTTGGTCAGAAGAGACATACAGGCAACAAATTCACTCAGCAGACTTGTTCAACTCTGTCTTTCCAGCTGTTAGAGCAGCTAACCTGTTGTCTCTTATGTGAGCTGTGTGCAGAACTTGTCCGACACGTCGATGAACAAATCACTAAGATAGATTCTCACTTTGAGCCAAACTTTTGTGTCTAAGTAGAAATAAATTTAATGCTATGCTAACTCCTGAAAGTTAGTGTGAAATGTTTAATGTATAAGTGCATCTCATTAAATTGGAAAAGTTTATAATTGGTAATTCAACTCACTGGATTTTTTTATACATTCGTTACAGATAAGGTGTTTATTTTGTTAAATTAATAACAGCTAAAAGATTAACAGTATCACTTATTCTGAAATTATTTCCATGTATGTTTACGCCCATATAGTTATGACTGTGCTGTCAATTTAAAACTTAATGGGCTATATCTATTCATATTAATGGCAAGCTGAGTGGAAGGAAAAGTAGCCGAAAACAAAACTAAGGTGAAACGGCAAACTGCAGCCTTGGATTCTACAGCAAACTTCTAGGAGTTTTTGGGATTTGGCTGCAGTAAGAACTTAAAAAGCCATGTAGCCGCCTTCCAGAAAACTTGCTACAGATACAATTTTACAGTATGACTTAACACCTGCCATCAATGCCTAAAGGCTACATTCACACAGCAGCCTGAAGTGACCCAAATTGGATTTTTTTGCCCATATGCGACCTGGATCTGATTTTTTCATGGCACTTTGAACAACATAGATCCTATTTTTCCAACGCGACCCAGGCCACTTGGCTATGTGTTCCTGAATCCCATACGAATCTGATCTTTTCAAATGCAACTTGTGTCTGAACGGTCAGGTCGCATTCATCCGACCTGAACGTCATTAACAATCAACAAAGGTCACTATTCTGCATTTCGCTACGCAGAAGTGGGAAGAAAAACAACCACCATGGCGGATGATAATGCAGAGAGCAGTCTTTTTTTTCTTTTTTCTTTCAACCATCTTGAAAAGATTGAGTCTTTAAGGTTGGGAAAGATAACCGGATGCACTCCAGCACTACCATCCATGTTTACTTCTGTAAACACAGAGCACGCTTGCTTATGATGTCATTGCGTCCTATACTGCGCATGCAGGACACTTACGCTGTATGAATGCAGTTCACACAGGAGATCACATACAAGTTGCATATATTTGGAAATGTGAACGATAACGAAAATAAAAATAAAAAATCGGAATTGAGCATTAAGGCCTGCAGTGTGAACGTAGCCTAAGAGGAGGAATTGAGGAGTCAAACTAAACCTTAAAGTTATCCTCATGCATTAATCTGTAATGTTTGGGGTAAATGTTAAATCAGAGGTATATGATCCTTGTTTTTCTTTTCACAAACACACACTTTGCCACATGAAGAGACAAGAGGACAGAACTGCACAGGACTGGGAAAAAGGAACTCGGATTTCAACTATTCGCATTCTTTCATTGATATGTTAATAATTCACAACATTGCTGAAAACTGTAGAAGCAGAACTGCAACAAAATAAGTCGCTCATTTTTTTTTTTTTAGTGGGTCTTTTTTTTTCCCTCTCACAATTGAAGATTTAGATCCCACTAGTGGCTTCTTTGCCAGTCCGCTGGGCTCTTGTTATTTCTAGCAGGTGTTCGTTCAGCAGCCCGATCATTATGCTGCAGCTCGCCGTGTGAATCCAGCAGCTGGATGCTCGTCGGGAAAAAGCTTTGTGTAGCTGCAGCGGCGGCAGGCGGTTTCACCCCGCCTGCCTCTGCGATGACGGCGTCCGTTAGCAGTACAGTAAGGCACATGATAGTTTGAGGGTGCTCTCTGGACACTTGTTGTTTTATGACCTGCTGTTTTGAGTGACAGGCACTTGAATGCCCTTCTGACCTGCAGCTGTGAATAAACAAAAGCAAATATTAGTTACCGGCAATATTACATTTAATCAAAGAGGTGCTAAAATACTATTGAGGCTTACCCAGTTTGTACTTTTCTCTAGCCTCCAACCTCTCTTTGGCATCAAAGTACCAGACTGTGATAGCATAACTGAAAAAGACAAGGGTTGAAAATGAAGAATTTATAAATAACCGGAAAAAAATCTTTTCAAACAAATATTTTCTTTTTATATTAAAGTAAAAATTATTCAGATCTTCTAAAACTTTTTTAAACTCGGACCACTTCTTATTCCCTTTGTTCCTTCATTTCAAATCCCAAAATGGCAGCTATCGTAAGTTCCAGAGTTAGCATAATTATCTGAATTCTGTAGTTTTTATTTTAATTTATACTGCGATTTATGCTGATTGCTAATATAATATTGCATTATAAGACGTTTTAAAATGCTAGGGTAGAAATAATTTCCACCTATCTACAAAACTGAAGTGAAAACCAGTGAACGAAGCACTGATATGCATTTTATGGGTGATCTGGTCCAACTGAACCAAAGAACGGTGTGAAAATGAGCTTGTAAATTCACAAATATAAAGAAATATCTTGCATTCCCAGATGAAGTACACTGAAGCCTTTTGCTTGACGTCTGCGTGACCTTTCCTTTCCATTTCCCAAAACTGAAATTGTTTTGACTGGTGTCTAGATTCCTCTCCTTATGTACTTATACCAAAACACCATCTTTTCCTCCCAGATCTTACATGTCGCAGCAACAATAAAACTGGACAGAATAGAAATAAACCACTGAGAACAGACTAAGTGAATACAAAGTTAACAAATGGGGCCGATGCAGTTACTAACAGAAGGATTCCACCAACCATACAGCACCAATCCTGGGAAAAGGACATTAGAGGGTTAATTTCGAGGGTTTCTCATCTCTCCTGTGGGCCTTTGTTGTTTATTCCTGTGTGTGCCTCTTCAGCACGAGTCCTGCCATCGAACCTTCCTCCCCTCGCCCTCCCACCGACCACCACAGGAAACGCATACTTCCTGCTTCCAGCCCCACCTCGCCCCCCAGCAGTCCAACCGGCAGAAACGGGAAGGGGAGTTTTCACGTGATCTCCACGGACAAAACTCCTTTCTGCAATGATGTAAATAATCCTGTTGTGTAAGTGTTGACATTGGCATGTTTATGCCCAGAGGGTCTATCGCGTATCAGAATCAAGGAAAAGTAAACTGTTGTTAATCCTAATTTCACTACATAATTATGAAACTGTTTTTTTTCTCCTGTTATTTTTTGAGAGTAGGACTCTATAAAAAAAAGGAGTTTAAATCCTAATATTGTTCAGTTTTGAAGGTCAAAGAAAAGGAAAGCAAAACCTCAGTTTTTATGAAGAATTTTGATTATTGTTTCTTTTTATATAAAAACGTATATAAAATAGAACATATATATACACAGATATATATATATATATATATATATATATATATTTATATATATATATATATATATATATATATATACATATACATATAATAATATAATAATTCAGAGGCTTTATTTTGCCAGAAAAAGTTGCAAATTCCAGCAGCTGTCACTAACCGAGTGGCGAAAGATGGCTTGACTTCATGTGGGTTTCTGCGATCAGACCAGAAGATGAGCAACCTGTCGAACAGAGGCTCGATGTTGGCCACAACGTTTTTGCCTTCAGGGTAAATCTGCAGCAAACCGCCATGTGTCTACAAAGACCAATGGGATGGATTAGTCACATTCCTGAAGGCCACAATTGTGACCTAATGTAAGATTTAAAATAAATTCAAATAAAAAGACCTGATATAGAGAGCTCAGTTACACAGAAATGAACAAATAGCTTTTAAATAGTTATTAGCATATATATATATATATATATATATATATATTAGGGGTGGAACGATTCACAAAATCCACGGTTCGGTTCGATTCACGGTTTCTGGTCACGGTTTTCGGTTCGATTCGATACATGTTGATTGTTACACCGAAATTCCATAAAAAATTATGAAATTAATGAAAAAATCCCCACAAAAATAATGGATTGTAATTATTTTAAATGATCCGCGGAAACCCTGGATCATTTCCATATGTTTTGCTGCTTTGAATTTAATCATCTGGCGCTTGCTCTCTAACCTGACAACAGCCAGATGCATTCATCTGCCTGTTGTCAGGTCACATGCTCTCTACCATCTCCAAGGAACTCAGAGGGGAGCGGACGAAGCCACAGTGGGGGCTGTATGCTTTGCTTTGAGCAGCCGGTCTGGAGCGCAGCGGGGGGTTGCTGACGGAGTGTGAGGGATTTCGGGTTAGCATGACATGTCGCTGTTAGCATAAACAAAACGTGTTGCACAATGCTTGCACACTGTTGCACTTTTATCCACAGCTTTCTTCCCGCCGTCATCGTAGGTCACTCTAAATTCAAAGCGCTCCCATACAGTAGACCTATAAAGTGCTGCTGGCGCGTCTTCCAACTCCAGTTCTTTCCCACTCGCCAGTCCGACACAATTCTCCACAACAACTGATTTTTTTCCCTGCTACACCCGGCTAAGCTGCTTCGCTTCTTCTTCTTCTTGTTTACTACTGGCGGTTGGCTTTGGTCGCAGTACCGCCACCTTCTGCTCTGGAGTGTAATCGCTTCCTCTATGAGAAAAAGGAGCAGCGCATGAACCGAACGAAACACACGCGAACCGAACCGAGACAGTCGAACCGAACGATTCTGACGGTTTTCATAAATCGTCCCATCCCTAATATATATATATATATATATAGTTTTTAGGACAACAGCCTACCTTGACATCCCAGTTCTTGTTAAGATAGTAAATGCATGTGATGCAGCGTCCATCTCCATTGGGGTTATCAACATGGCGGACATACCCAGCACCATTCCCTGGGTAACACGCAACCATGGCCTAAAAATAATGAAAATAGGAAAAATGAGTAATGTACACTTTAGACAAGAACAACAGGTTAATCATCATATTCAAACCTGCAAATACAAAATGTCTATTGTTTCATTAAATGAGGAAAGTGCAGAAGGATTGATGTGTCAGTTTACTGTTTGAGAAGCATATAGAAATTGAACAGGACAGTTTTCTATTTAGTCATCTAACTGGGTGACCATGAACTCAAGAAAAAAAAATACCCGTTTTCTCATGACCACTGAATCCATATTAGTTTTATGTGATTCCTTCCAACTAAAAACACTCTTCAGTGTGGAAATCTATACTAACTGGCAAGGAGTTTGTAGTTAATCAAGTTAGAAACTTGAGCTTTGAGGCCATCAAAAAGGAAACTATTGTGTTTGACTTGTCAGGACATTTCTGTATTTCATACAGGCTGAAGGAGGCTGCAAGATAAGTAATGATCATAGATTTATATGACACATCATGTGCTTCTGCTGTTAAAAATATCAAGACTGCAAAACAAGAATCATCAAAATGCTGGTAATTATTGTTTGTACTTTTATTGGCTAAAATCCGAACAGGCAAGAAAAAAACATCATGAAATCAGGTCTCAAAAGTTTGCCCCAAAATTCAAACATCTCTGTTTGATAAGAACAAATAAAAAGGAGCATCTCTTTCCCGTTTTAAATGCCTGTCCACAATTATCTAAAGGAACAATAAGCTATAATATAAGCTAAATATCACCATTAGGCGGGCGGTTGAGCACTGCCTGTAGACCAAAGCAAGATGTGTAACAGACGACGCCTCTCACTACTTCCACTCCAGCTCGCACAAACCCAAAACACACTTCGAAAAAGGTTGAATTTCATGTATTCCAATGAGTTAATAAATGCGTAATTTTATTTTTGTTTCCCTGTAAGCATAAAAATTGAGCGACCACCATGAGCAAAAAGCTGCAAAGCTTAATGAGCTCTGTCTGAAACTGTGAGCCGTAAATGAGGGCTGGCAATAGATAAAAAGTAGGGCACAACTCAAACTGATTTGGCTGTGAACAAGGAGGGAAACACCAGTGGATTTGGAGAATAGCAGCACAGAAAGGCTCAGAAGGCACTGAATTTATTTGAGTGATTGAAAAACAACATGGTGACAGGTGTGACTGGCCTACCTAAAGGTGAAATCGATAACGCAGCAGAGCAGAGGCTGTTATTCATGAGTGATGGTCTCATCGCCCAGCTGAGGCGAAGCACTGACTCAAGCCTTTCCGTGTGGAACAGAACGTTTGAGTCTCACTATAGTTATTCCAAGAAACTAGCGGCTTGTTTTAGTCTGAGGAAGCAGCTTGTGAAGTATTTACCCCGGGTCTGAAACATGATCGTGTTCCACTAGATCACACAGCCATGGCACACACCGCCGCCACTTAACTTCCAGTACGTCTACAGACTCTCAGTCTCGTGTTGACCCTTGTGTGGAATGTGCATTGACCCAGCAGCTTTCACGCAAGCCTCAGTTTCCTCCGAGTCCCCAGAGAAAGCAGCGCGCACCAGCCCAAACAGCCTCCAACGCTCAGACGTCAAGCATTTGGCATTACAGAGTTAAAATAAGTGCAATTTTTCTTGAATTGAGCAAATAGGTGAGACAATTTGCCAATGTAATTAAACAACTTATGTTTAAAATAATAAAAAAAAACAACTGCAGTCTCTTATTTCAAATGCATAATACCTAATTATCTTATTTTAAGGGTAAAAATACTTATTCATTGGCAGGTAATTTTATTTACTCACTCAGCTTAAGGGTAATTACACTTATTTTAAGACATTTTTAGATTGTTTTTGTGGTGTACATATTTTAAAACAAAATAATTCTGAAACTTTGACTTGTGATTCCTACTAAACATTTTACCTGTAAAATTTCTCAGTTATTTCCCAACAGAGGCTAAATGTTCAAAGATTAAACCTGACCAGTTGTGTTTCATTATTTACCAACAAGTGTCTTCTGACTGAAAGTAATACCTAAATTTTAGAGTGACCCAGTTGGAGTCTTGACTTAAATCTGAAATACAATCTTTTGAGGGAGATAAAAATTGGAGTCATAGTAAGGAGGCCTCCAAACTTCAAAGGTTTGGATCACATCACCAAAGACTAATTCATCAGAATACCGGTGGAAAATGGAAAATGCTGATTAGAAATTTAAAAAAAGGTTTGATTACCGGTACTCCAATGCCAGAAAAAATGTGCCATTTATACATATTTATTAGCTGATATATTTATCCAATTCCTACTGGTGAGCCAATAACTGATGATTTGTGTATCAGCTGAGTCGAAAGATTGAAAAAGCTTTTGTTTTTTTAAATGGCACAGTAGGTCATTGGAATGCAGACTGTGAATGCGTGGCACCTGAATGAATCATGTCCAATGTCCTTAACCATTAGGCTTGTATTAAAACACTTTTCATTGAGCCCATATTACTGAAATTCAAAAGGTCTGATACAATATAAGGATATCAATATATCAAAATCATCATAATCACCAAAAATCTAGAGTCGGAAACTTCAATCTGGGTGTAAATAATCTATTTGAGGTTGGTGTAGGGAACTAAGTCGTTGAATTAAACATTTCAAAAATATTCTAGGACTTCTTATTTCACAGTTTTATTTTTTTTATTATTCTCAGTGTTTGCTGATTGCTACATTTAACCATTTGTTTATCATGGCCTTTCTGCAGCTACCTTAAAAATCAATCTCACATCTTATCAGTACGGAACCCGAAAACCTAAATACAAAGAAGGAGGGGGGGCTGTAGTTATGATGCTTTTGTAAATTATGTCAACTATAACCTCCTTAAGATCCTTTGGGATTTTTGGCTGATGGTGATGACGGTATGGGAAGATGTTTACAAATGATTGTTCCTGTTTCTGCTGGCAGCTCATTAAAGCATCATTAGGAGGCGTTGTTTTCAATTGGTTTGCTAAAATGTATGGGTTTAAAACTGGTTTTTATCAGCAGTTCTAACCAGAACGTAATCGAGATCCTATAAAGATTTGATCCTTATGGATTAGACGTGCAGACAACATGAGAAAACGCTCTCTAAAATGTTTTTTATTTTCAGCAAAACTGAGAAAATCTGTTCAGAAAACCCACATAATGACATTTCAACAGAAAGATATTGGGAGCTGCTGTCATCGTCAAGTTCAGATGTTAGTCTTTGTTTCATGTTATTGTTCCTATCATGGCTTCTAATCTGGAAACAGCCCCTTTTGGGCAAACATGAAACGCTGTTTGAGAGAGTATACTGAATGCAAATGTTTACCTTTTTCTTCTTTTTTTTTTTTTACAATTTTGGTATAATTGCTGCTCAAGGTGGGTTGCTCTATCAGCTAAAGGCATGTTTAGGAGTCTCTAAACTCCAGTTAACGATTAATCAATTACTAAATTAGTTGATTAGTTGATAATGAATTAAAAAGAAAACTGTAAAACAAGTTGGAAACTGGAAAGCAAGACACAACAAACAAGCATAGATCAATAATTGGTGTCAATGGTGCTGATGGAGAGATGTGTCGTGACCTTAGGTCTGATGACCGTGTCAGAACAGTCACGGTCACAGAGGCACACACACTGAAGTGAAGATACAGCAAGTCACTGTAAATACTTTGTATGTGTTTTGCTTTGTTTTTTGTTTTGTTTTTTTATTGCAAACTGTAATATTCTTTTGCAGAAATTCCAAATAATAAAAACCCAACTAATCTAGGCAATAAGCTAAAATATGGCAACTTTTGCTTTTATTACTAACAGGGCGTAAGCCCCATTCAAGTGTTGCAAATATTTATTTTTATCATTAAATTCCATGTCTGCCATTAAACATGGTCGATTTTAAAATGTAAGATGATTTAGTTGCAGAAATCACTGGCATCAAAGTTATTTTTTCTTCTATCTATAGAACCCAAATTCAATTATATCCTAGCTAATTTGAAAAAGGATTAGAATCTTTTGGGGGTTTTTTTTGCACAACCTTTTAACGACCAAGTGTTTGTTTTTTCTTTTCAATTTATTTACCCTAACAAGTGGCTTATCACTGCAAAGGCTGTCCTCTGCTTTTAACAAATCTGTCTGAGAAGCCTTCTAGGTCTAAGGTTCCCACTTAGGAACCCAGAGTGGTAGTCTGCTGGATTCAAACCAGAGAGCCTGAACTCACCAGTAGGACACCGATTCCCATTGGCACTCCAATGAACCATAAAATATTGGTAACATTCAAGAGACATCTCATCCATAATTTTTACTCCTTCCAACCCAACTGTAAGTATAAAAAAAGCTTCATGCACTTTTTTTTTTACAATTTATTTCCCTTGAAATACTGAGACACAGAGTCTGAAATAGTGCATCCTATCTGCCCTTTCCTGCTTCCTGTCTGCTGAAATCTGTGGCCCATTCAAGTCTGAGTGTAATCACCACCTGTCTGCAAGGTATAAGATTCAAACCCTCCTGTTCGGTGGCATGACAGGAAAACTAAAAACAAAACGAAAAAAGAAAACACTAAATGCAGTGACGTCCAGGCAGGCAGAACCTGCTGTTCGGGAAGAGAGCGGCCATTGGTGAGTGCTCATCTAGATAAGAGGAATGACGGTGGAGAGCGCCATGAGAGGCTTGATAAGGCTGAACAAATACAGGCCTGAAATATGCTTGCGTATTAGAGGTGGGGCACTGACGGCGATATCTAGGGCTTTAAACATGGCAGGGTAATTACAGGTTGTAGTTTATTCAATATTTTTGAAACTGCTGCTTCTGATGCTTTCAGCTTCTACTGTGGAAACATTATGACATGTTAATGCATTAAGAGTGTCCAAACTCATTTTATACTGTATGACTGGGATTTAGGTTAGAGGTCTCCTCTACTTGACCTTTCAAATGCATCATGACCTGCAGAGCTGGCATTAAGATACGAGCTGCAGGAGACTAAAGCAGAGGTGAAAAAGGGCTTATTTATCTATCCTCTATTTATTAATCTAAAGCTTAG